AATCCTTGGCAGCCGCTGCGGGGCTATGGCATTTAGAGAGGCAAGTTTGAAAGGAATCACTTTATTTTTGGTTTAACTTTATAAACTTCACTTTTACACTTTAAACGGAAAAAAGATCAGCTAGGTACGACTGTTTTAATCTGAATCACAAATACAAAAAGATTCAACAAAGTAAATAAAATGGTTCAAGCAGTTGAAGTTGTTTTAAAGTGGAATGAGCTGTATAGCTCTCTTTCTTTTTTCGTTCGAAAAGGTTTAATAAATTTTCGTCAAGATTGAAAAGAACTTATGCTATTGGTGAGCACCAACAAACATTCTGCTGCTGTAATGGATCCAAGATTTTTTACTCATCTAAATTATCCCCCTTTATATGCCACTATTCTGCTGAGCTCACAAACGCCAATATGATGAATTAAATACTATTGAGGCATCAGACTTCATTGGGAGAAGAAAAACGATTGTGTAGGCTAATCTAATTAATCAACTTTTATTTGAGCTTAAAAGGCAAGACAAATTTATGCTTTACTAATCAGAAAAACAGATTTGTTTTGGGAAGGGGAGGAGGTGAGAGTTTGTAGAGGCCACAACTGTTATTTCGCTATGGGACTAGGGTAAACTAAAGACGGGCCTTTAGTTCAACCCGAAAAAAACTTAACAATTATTGTAATAATTTTTAGGTTTTTTTACACGTGTTTTTTTTTTTTTTTTGGGGAGGGGGGAAGGGGGCTCTTGTCCCAGTCGGTAGTCCGACATTTATGGCAGCCCTATCTTACGATCAAGATTTGCATTTTTTTAATGAAAATAATTTTAACTCGCGGTTTTTTGAATTAGGAACTTTTAAAAATGAATTAAAATCATTAGATAATAACTTTACGCACAAAATATTATTCTGTATTGGTGACATAAATATAAATTATCTAGAGTACAATGAAGATGCTGTTACCAAAAATTTCTTTGACGATATGTTTCAACACTATATCTTTCCTATAATAAACAAACCAACCCGGGTAACATTAAATTCAATCACTGCAATTGACAACATATTGACTAATTCATTTTATGATTCTTCATTAAAAGCAGGTGTAATCAAAACAGATATATCCCAGTGGCGGATTGAGGTTTAGTGTCGCGGGGGGGCTAAGTCAATAAATAGGGGCGACCGGGGTTGCCTTCAGTAATTTAATCTTATATATATATATATATATATATATATATATATATATATATATATATATATATATATATATATATATATACTAATTGTTTTAGGGGGCGCCATTAGACCGTTCTAGGGGGGCGTGGGGGGGGGAGGCCCCTCCCTCCCCCCCCCCCCCCCACGCCCTATACTAAATCCGCCACTGATATATCCCATTACTTTTTGATATACTTTTTCTTTTTTTAAGATACAAAAAATAATAACTCTAAAATCAAAGTATATAAACGAAAATTTAATAATTTTACTACTCAACAGTTTAAAGACTCACAATCGGTAGTGAGATGGGACAGGATTTACCAAGAATGCAACCTTGGGCATACCAACTCCGCTTATAATGAATTTATAGAAATATTCTTAAAGTACTATGATTATCACTTCCCTATAATAGAACAAGAATTAAAAGTAAAATACTTACAATGTCCATTACTAGAGATTACTAGAGATATAAAAAAATCTTCAAAAAAAAAAAAAAAACTTTACATCAAGTATTTAAAAAACAGAAATTAAAAAAATCTAAATACTTACAAACAATACAAAAATTTATTTGAAAAAACAAAAAAATGTTCGAAGAAAAATTACTACTCGAACCAAATAAAAAATGCAACTGTTGACATTAAAAAAGCATGGAATACTATAAAGAAATAATTGGGAACAAAAAAGTTAAATCAAATGGTTTACCTGCTCAAATCGTCATAGACAATATAGAGTACAGTGACAAAAATACGATTGCTAAAAAATTCAACGAATTTTATGTTAACATTGGCCCTAATCTTGCCTTAAAAAATTAAGTCTCCTAAGAACTCATTTAAATCAAACCTAAGTGATACCCAGAGTGAACTAAAATACAAAGTACTAAACTACCAAGAACTTAATGTTGCTCTAAATTCCTTTAAATTAAATAAAATTCCAGGTATAGATGGTATCTGTAGTTGGGTAGTGGCAAATGTCTTTGCGACGATAAAAAAACCTATATTTGAAATTTTTAAGTTTTTGATCAAAACAGGAGTTGTACCGGACAAGTTAAAAGTAGCTAAAGTACCAATATCTAAAACAGGCGAATCATATCTAGTTTATAACTATAGACCTATCTTGGTACTCCCTACCTTTTCTAAGCTTCTCGAAAGAGTAATCTATAACAGATTGTATGAAAAACGCTGTCAAAAGCGTTTGATACTGTAAATCATAATATCTTACTTTAAAAAAATGGAAAGCTATGGGACTAAAAACATAATTCTTAACTGGTTCAAAAACTATTTAAGCAACAGAAAACAATGTGTTTTTTCAGATAATTATGAACACTCAAAACTACTAAGAGTTGAGTGCGGTGTCCCTCAAGGTTCAATTCTTGGACCTCTTCTGTTTCTTCTATATATTAACGACCTTACAAAAGCCTTGGGAAAACTTGATATAATTATGTATGCCGATGATACAAACTTATTTTATTCATCGAACTCAATCAAAGACCTTTATGAATGTATGAACAAAGAGCTTAAAAGATTAAATATATGGTTGAAATTAAATAAGTTATCACTAAATACACAAAAAACAAAATACATGTTTCATTCCAAAAAACCAAAAAATAATATACCAACTATCTCTCACTAAAAATAGATAAGGTAAACATTGAAAGAACAGAAATAACTAAATTTCTTGGGATACTTATTGACGAAAATATATCTTGGAGAGCTCATATAAGTACAAAAATACCAAAATTTCAAAAAATATTGGGATGCTCTACAAATTTAAACCTATGTTGTCCCAACATAATCTTGGATCGCTTTATATTACATGGGCAAGTACACACAAATCCAAACTGAGTACTATTTAAGTCAAAAACTTGCATCAAGATTAGTTTATAATAAAGATAAACTCACCCATGCTAAATCCTTTCTAAAAACCTTGAATGCACTAAATGTTTACCAAATCAACATCTACCAAAATGAACTATTTATGCTTAAATACAAACTTGGACTAGTTCCATCGCATTTTTTAAATAACTTCTTTCAAGTAAACTCTGATAGATGTATAACAAGAGCAACAGGCAACTGTTCACACTGCCTAAAAGAACAACAAAGTTCTCACGGTTTTCTATTTCCTACCAGGGTCCGTCCCTATATAACAAAATAATATCCAAAAATATAGAGCTTAAGGTATTAAACATTCCTGCCACCTTGAAAAATAAATTAAAACACCTCAAACTTAATATCAACAATTATATTATATTAAAAATTATATTAAAAAATTATACTAAAGTAGTATCATTGACTGTATATTGTTTAATCACTTTTGACTATATATAAAAATGAAATAGACTTTATTTAACCATTTAAAAAAGTACTCGATGATAAGTCTTCATAGACTTCTACGAGTTTTCTTTTACAACAGCATGTATATATCTGAAGTAACAAAAAATGTCGTCTTTTTTTTTTTGACTTTTCTTATTTTTATTCTTTTATTTTTAAAAAATACTAGTAGTTTTTATGATAAGAAATACTATTAATTTACGCTATACCTAGTTATACTTCTTAAACCACTTTTTATTATGATAAGTTTTACGTGGTATTATTATGTTATATTTTTTACTTTGCATTATATTACGACTTGTAGTTATAACCATGGAAGTATAAAACAGATGGAAGTTCAACCGCATTGAAATTCTTCGGGACCATGCTTGTAACCTTTTGTTTCGTAAACAAAAACAAAACGACATCAAGACTGTACTTAAACGCTTAATCTTTATACGTTGACACAAATTGGTACGTTTATAATAATTTTAAAATATAAAAAAAAAAAACATTAAAAATGGCGCAACGAAACGGCTAACAACAACTTTTTTATAAACTTCATATTAAATGAATGGAGTGCTACAAGAATGAATAAAACTATGATATACAGCTATAGCTGTATATCATAATTTTATTTATGCTATAGTATCAGCTTTTATATCATAATATATATATGATATAGTATCAGCTTGCAGTTCTTCTTGAGGTAGTATGAATGAAACTTTAAATTTTAGTTATTTAGAAAACAATATTTTTGATTTTTTTAAATTGCTTTAGTTGTCTTTTTAATCAAATGTCGTGTTATGAGTTGAAGCAAGAAAAGAAGCTTAAACTAACATATGCTTTTAAAATCAAGTAGGTCTATATAATTACCGAGTTTTAATAAACCTTTTGTTGAATAACTGCAATTACTAATGGTTAAAACTTTGCAGCATATCCCTAGGATAATTCATTTTTTAATATTTTTATAAAAATCATTTCAATGAACTTGTTGTTTTTTTTAATTGCGGTTACAAGCATACTCCCGAGACGACTTGAAATTGCTTTGATGTTTGCGACTCGATGAATTTCCATCTGTTTTATACTTCCATGTTATAACGTAACATGGAAGTATAAAACAGATTGAAGTTGATTGAAGAATAAATGAAGCTGTAAAAAAAAAAAAAAATTTTTGAGTTAGTTTAAAAAAAAAAGGCTTAACAAAACAAAACCTATGATTTAAAGTTGAAAAAAGTAATTTATTTTTTCAAGTAAATTATGATAAAGTAATAAAAAATTATAAATTAACTAATTTACATAGTCTCTTTGTACTATTTATTAGCAAAGTTGTTGAATGAACAGAAGAGCATTCACAAGAAAAGTGCGTAACCAATAAATGCATTAATTTTAAACACCTTTCACTGTCTGGTTTTAAAAAACCGCTCTCCATTGCGTAAGTATGAGTCATTTAATACAAAGTAGAGACTAAATAATAATAAAATATTATTATAAACTTTTACCTTGGAACGAAGATGGAAGTATAACTGTTTCGCCAAGTTTAGCAGTGAATGCTTCTTGTTGATATCTTGTAAGACGCTGTTTTTTAATTACTACAGCTCCGTATTTACTTACGTCATTTCTTAGCCTTATGATATCTTTTTCGTCCAAATTATTAACATCTTTTACCCAATAAAGAATTTTACCCATATTGTTTTTTGACTGCTTTTTAAACAGACTGTGTTTATTGTGACAAAATTCATCCTGTAAGGACGATACAAACGGATACTTTTGAGAAACATAGCAAACGTCAACTCTGTATCCAGCTACATAGCTCATTGTAATTAAATGCAATAACAACTTAAACATGTCTAAGTTTTTTTACTGGCAAATTTTTAATCTACTTTAAACTTTGTATGAGAACTTAAACTGTTAATAAAAATTTTTTTATAATTTTTTTTTTTACTAATTTACTTTAGTTTTTATTACAACAGCAGCAAATTTAATTCAAAAACACGTCACCAAGTTGACAGTTAAAGACAAGTAAAAATATTTACGTTCAATACCGGATAAGCAAAAAACTTATTTATTTGATAATAAAGTTTATTTTTCCCCAGAGACAAAGAAGTTAAATATTTAAATTTTATAAAATAAATATATTTTTTTAATATTCAAAATAAATAAAACTTGTTAAAAGTAAACAAAAGTTCTGTAAATTTTTAAATTGTTTTGTAATCATCTTTATTTCTTAAATAATTAACTTATTAAGTTTGAAAAATTGTCTTTAAAAAAAAGGTTGTGTGACGTAAAAAATTTTAAGTTGTTTACAATACATACATACACAACCCAATAATTTTTCTAATAAATAATTTTGAAGTTTTTAGAAAAAAACAAACGATTATAAGTTAAAGAATAGAAGGATCTAATTTGTTTTCCATAATTTCGGTGTATATTCCTTTGACAAAAAATTTTGACCCTACTATTTGATCTGTCCCGCAGCCCCCCCCCCCCCAAATAAAAAGCAGCCGTGGCGCAGTGGTAGCGCACTTGCCTCAGAAACGTAAAATCCGTAGTTCAAACCCCACCTCTGGGCAAGTTTTGCGACATCGGTTGGGAAGAAGGCGTGTATATATATATATATATATATATATATATATATATATATATATATATATATATATATATATATATATATATATATATATATATATATATATATATATATATATATACTATCTTATTATATTTTAAATATTTATTTTTATTTCGTCGGTACTACCAAGGTGCTTATATTACCCTAATCTACCCTATATATAATATTAAAAAACCAAAGAATTTCCTTATAATTTAATAAATATATATTTTATAAACCTATTTTTTAATGTATCAAGTTATTAATTTTGTTTTTTAATTTTACTAAAGTATTAATAATATCTTTCAAGAACAGGTATTTAAAAAATCCGGGATCAATCCTCGGATCCCGGGAGTAAGTAAATGCAATATCGAAATCCCGGTTTTAAAATAAAAACTTAAAATATTAGTTACCGTTTTATCAAAAAGATAAAACGGTAACTAATATTTTAAGTTTTTTATTTTAAAGTTTGTAAAACCCTAATTAGATTCATTGTTAAATATCAAATTTTTTAAAATGTTCAAAAAGTTTAAAACAAAATTCTTTTTAAAGCTCAATTCCCACCGGGTCACTATGCGTCGCGAAGCGGAAATAGGATTTTACTTACTTTTCAGAAAAAATTTTTCAATTTTAATATTTTAAATATTTTTTAACTGAAACAAGTTAGTATTAGTTAATAAAAAAAAGTTTTTTTTTAATTTTTTTAAATTTGCCTTTTTAGGTGCGGGATTTTCAGTGGTAAAAAACCCCATGTTTTCACTAAATCTTTAAATTACATAAGATAATTTTCAAATTTCTTCATTTTTTTTGTGCACATTTTCTAATAAATGATACATTTTGTAAATTAAAAACCAAGAAAAGAAAAAAAAAATGTTTGGATCATTGTTTTTGGGTGTCTGTAAAGATTGATCGATTAGACCATGTTACTACAGAGGTAGCCAGTTTTTTATTTTTTTTAAATTTTCTCAAACAAATTGACTTTTTATAAGTGAAATAATATTCTGGCTACCTCTGTAGTAACATGCTATAAAATCAATTCAAAAGAGGTGGATTTATTAAAAACCGGTTAGTCAAGAAAATAATATGGAAAAATTTAATTCCAAATAGTCCAGATGCAACTGAACTATTTGGAATTAAATTTGGAAAAATTTGAACATTTGAAAAATGAAATTTTTTTTATTGAAGAATATTGAATTTAAACTTGGTGAAAGTACTTTTGTAGTAAAGTCTAGTTTGTCAACTATTTATACCACAATGAATGATGGCAAAACACTAAACGCTGTTGTATCAAATATGCTTAAAAAAAAAATTTCATCTCAGTCCTGCCATGTATGCCTTGCAAATTCTAAGGAGTTTAACTTGAAAACTATTTCGAAAAAAAATATTAATTTAAACAAGCATGTTTTGAAACTTGGAGTTTGCAGTCTTCATCTATGGATGCGCTGTATGGAGTGGATTTTCAATTCTGATTGTAAACTCTCAGCTGTTAAGCAAGGAAGAAATATTCCATCACAAAAGAGTAAAGAATTTATTGAAAACAAAAAAAAAATTCCAGCATTTATTCAAGATACAACTGAATATAAGGGTTTCTTTTGTCAGGAAAGGATGTGGAACAACCAATACTGGAAATGTTGCTCGCAAATTTTTTAATAACTTGATTGTGACAGGGAAAATTTTAAACTTGGATATCAGAATGATTAAGTTGTTTCGAGATTTACTCATTGATATAAACGGAACAACTACAAGACCGGATATAAAGGTTTTCAAACAGAAATCTGAACATCTATTTGCACTCATAATTAATGATAAATTTTTAAAAACCATACCTATGTCACAATCTGTGCATAGAGTGATAGTTCATGGTACTTCTTTTATAAGGTATTTTAAGTATCCGATAGGTTCTTTGTCTGAGAGTGCTATTGAAGCTAGAAATAAGGAAAACAAAACTGCTCGAATTGGTCATGCTCGTTTATCCTCTTTTGCAGAAAACACTAGGGATACAGATAATTATTTGTTTATGACATCTGATATGTACCTCTTTTGCAAAAAAAAAACAAAATGGATAAAAAAAGAGTGAAAACAAAATAGTTTAAGAAAGCAAAGTGACAGTTCTTCTGATAACTGCTTAAAATAAAGGTAAAATAGTTTTATTATTAATATTGTTAATAGTTTTGATTGATTTTTTTTTGGTTAGGCAATCTCATAATTTTGGTTAATTAACAATTCAAAGTTGCGTTTTTTTTTGTTTTTTTTTTTATGTTTTTTAAAATAAATTTAAGAAACAATTTAATCAATTTTAACAAGCAATTAACTATTTTAGGAAGTAAGACCATGAAGAATCATACTGGTGAGCTGTTCTGCGTTGAATTTTTAAAAAACGGCTATTTTCATAGCCACAAGTTATTAAAAATATCTATTAGAATAGAACGTTGAGAAACTGTGAAAGAATGCACAGAGCCAAGTATCGTATGATAGCAGAGTTGTTTATTATATTCAATGATATTGTTTATTTTGAAATAGTGTTCATATACATAGTTTGTAAAATTCTATAAAATATAGGCGCCTACATTTTTTTAAATAAAACCATCCGGACTTGTGTAGTTTTCCGGACAAATCTAGAATTAGTCCGGACTAACCGAAAAAAAAATACAATAAATTGCTTTTTTATGAAAACCGAATACGATTCTTTTAAATATAGAAATATAAATAAAAATTTGATGTCTTGTGAAAAAATAAGTTAAATATTTTAAGTCCTTCTTTATTTATATGCCTATTTCCTCATTTTGTATAAGAGCAACGCATAGTGCGGGTGTGGTGTATTTTTGTTTACAAAGCTATGAAAAATAACAGCAATCGCTATAAAAACATAAAACTTGATATCAAAAAGGTAAACAATCTGTCATGAAAGTGTACTATTTATATTGCCTTCACTGTATATACACTATATATATATATATATATATATATATATATATATATATATATATATATATATATATATATATATATATATATATATATACACATATGTGTGTATATATATATATATATATATATATATATATATATATATATATATATATATATATATATATATATATATATATATATACATATGTGTGTATATATATATATATATATATATATATACATATATATATATATATATATATATATATATATATATATATATATATATATATATATATATGTATATATATATATATACATACATATGTGTGTGTGTGTGTGTGTGTGTGCGTGTCTATATATATATATATATATATATATATATATATATATATATATATATATATATATATACATATGTGTGTGTGTGTGTGTGTGTGTGTGTGTGTGTGTGTGTGTGTGTGTGTGTGTGTGTGTGTGTGTGTGTGTGTGTGTCTATATATATATATATATATATATATATATATATATATATATATATATATATATATATATATATATATATATATATATATATATATATATATATATATATACACACATATATTTATTAGCCATTATATATTTATTAACCATTAGCTTGTTCTACTCCTAAAGCTAATTTTGTTATATAAAAAATATTAACAGCTTAAATGTATATAATTATAAGGATCGGTCCAAGCAGAATATAAAAATTTGTCTTATCAAAAGTTTTTTTCACTATACAATATACAGGATTACATGTATTAAATAAACACATATGTCATCATTCAATCAACCAAAATACAAATTATAAACATAAACAATAATAGAAGAATTGCAATAAAATTTAAACTTCAGAAAAATATCAAAAGAATTTAAAAACTGAAACGTAAAAATTAAAAACACAAAATTAAAATACTAAAAAAAAGTTAAAATAGTGAGATAATTTTAAAAACTGAAAAACTTTTTAATAAAATAATTAAAAAAAGATATCTTTAAAAAGTAAATTATATATCTAAAACATTGAAAAAAAAAAAAATACTATGCATATCTACTGCATAAATTAGAATTACATTGGCTTTTGGAAACATAACAATTTCATCAAGTCTAATTTTTTTCTTTCTTTGAATATGAAAATATTTTTGTAATTTTAAAATAACTTCATAATCAACAAACAACGGAAGTTTATTTAGCTATTAATACTGTTAGAATTCTTTAAAGCATATAGTTTGTTACATATGTGGTAAGCACGTATCAACTAAATAATTTAACTCATAACCATAAAAGCAAAAAATTCTCTAATCTCTTGTTGAGCTAAAAGTCAAAATGTTAATCAGTGCCGTGGCTAGTGTGTTGGAGAACCCCCCCCCCCGGCCAAAAAAAAAACTGCCACTAGGGCCTTAGTTTTTTTAAAATTTTTCCACTTAGTATTAAGAACAACTTTCTATAAAGATCACATGTTAATTACTCATTTTGGTTTACTAAGATCACTAATAAAATCTTTGAACTATTAGTAGTAGCAATATGTTTATTATAAACTTAACTGAAATTTGTTATTTCACACACTAAACAAGCATAATTTAGATAATAAACTTCTTTAAAAAAATACATCTTGCTCTAACTTTTAAAAAGTCAATAAACATACAATCATTTATTTCGTAATAGAAATCATAATATTTAAAAAACTTTAAAGGTATATAACTGTTTGTGTATTTAAAACAAGTGAAGAACTTTTTCGAACAAAGTAACACGTTTATTAAACATTCAATATTTGTATTTAAAATTCTTGTAACTTTTTTTCATTTGATTGATTTGAAAGTAACAGGCTAATTTTAACCTACTATTATAAACGCAACGTTTTAAATTTTATAATATATTGTTAAATAGTATTAACAATACATTATACAATTTAAAACGTTGTATTAATAATATTATACAGTTTTATGTAAAACATAAAACTGTATAGTTTTTTTCAAAAAACATAAAAACAATTTTTATATAAACAGCCAATAAAAGTCTTGTTTTACCAAACAGCAAAAAAATAAAATCGCCCTACAACTTTGAAACATCGGAGAGTAAGGCTTTAATATCTTGACACGATAATTGAATTGCATTATGTAAATCTTCACATCTGCTTTGCACTGAATCTTTCCATGTGCTAATGACAATATTGATGCTAAAATAAATACAATTTATTTTTGTTAAATATTAGGTATTAAATGTTTTAACAGTTACAAAAATGTCTTGCCAGATACTATGCTTCAAAGAGAGAAATAAAAAACTGTACAAATTTTAACGAGAATTTTTTTATTTTATTTTAATTCACCTCCTCAAGGCCGAGAAGGCCACTACAGACGAGGAGGCTACTTATTTGTGGTTATAACCCTCTCTCAACTCTATAACTCCAAAACACGAACCTTGACGAGCAAGGCC